CAGGTATGCCAGGCGAGCGCGCTACCGCTTGAGCCACATCCCCAGCCCTCTAAGGAGGTTTTTTGTGAAGTCTTTAGGGTTTCCTAAGTATTATTTAATCAGGGATAATATGACTTTCTTCTTTTTTATTTGCATCCTTTTCTATTTCCTGATGGCACTGGCTAAAATTTCAAGTACTATGTTGAATAAGAGTGATGAGAGTGGATGCCCTTGCCCCATTCCTGATATCAAAGAAATACTTTTAGTTTTTCCCCAGTCCGTATGATGTTGGGTAGAGTTTGTCATATACAGCCTTTATTAGATTAACATAAGATTTTTCTATATCTAGTTTTTTCAGGGTTTTTGTCATGAAGGATGTTGTGTTGAACTTCATCAAAGTATTTTTCTGCTTCTATTGAGATAATTACATGATTTTTACCCTTGATTCTATATATATGCTCTATTTTGTTTATTGATTTGAATATATGGAACCATCCTTCTATTCCTGGAATGAAACCAACTTGACCATGGTGTATTATCTCTTAAACATGCTATCTAAGTTGATTTGCAAATATTTATTGGAGATGTGTGTGTGTGTGTGTGTGTGTGTGTGTTGCTGGGGATTGAACCCAGGGCCTTGTGCACATAAAGCAAATGCTCTACCAATTGAGCTATATTCCCAGCCCTTTATTGAGGATTTTTGCATGTATGTCATCAAGGATTTCGGTCTATACTTTTCTTTTTACTGTTATTGTCTGTGTCCTTAACTGGTTTTGGTATCAGGGTAATGCCAGCTTGGTAGAATGAGTTTCCAAAGGGTTCTTTCCCTTTTTGTTTCATGAAATAGTTTAAGGAGCATTGGTATTAGTTCTTTTAAAAGCTGATAAACTTCAGTGGTAGAGGTGGTCTAGTATGAGTAATTTTTTTTCTTTCTTATCCTTATTGATGCAGTGGTTATACAAATCTACACATGTAATAAAATGTTGTAGAGATACACACACATTATATCACTGTTGTTTTCTTGGTTTTAATGTTACATAAAATGGAATCACTGGAGGAAATGGGTTAAGGATTCTCCCAATCTCATTGCTATTTTTGCAACATCTTATGGATCTATAATTATTTCACAACAAAAGAATTTTTCTTTTTTTAAAAAAGTTGTGGGTACTGCTGGGCATGGTGGTGCATGCCTATAATCCCAGTGGCTCAGGAAGCTAAGACAGGAGGATTGTGAGTTCAAAGCCAGCCTCAGCAATAGCGAGATGCTAAGCAACTCAGTAAGACCCTGTCTCTAAATAAAATATAAAATAGGGCTGGGGATGTGGCTCAGTGGTTGAGTACCCCTGAGTTCAATCCCTGGTACCCCCATACTAAAAAGAAAGCTACGGGTACTTTTATTGGGTTGTGTTAAATGTATTAAGTAACTCAGAATAACATGTATGCTTCATTGAGACATACTATCTAAAAATAAGAAATATCTTTAAATGTACTTCCCTACTTTTGTTTGAGTTTTTCTCCTAAGGTCTTCTAATATTTCCTAAGTTGTTATTTCTAAGTATTTAACTTTTTTTTCCTATTGTTAATGCTTTGGGGCTCATTAAATTTCTGAGGCTAGCTTTGAACTTGTGATCCTCCTGCCTCAGCCTCCTGAGTTGCTGGGATTACAGGCATGGACCTCTACATCCAACTTCTACTATTCTCTTCTACTAACTGGTTATTGTCTTTACAAAATCACAAAATTTTGTCTGAGTCTTATCATTGATTCCATATAATTTTCCAGATAGTGTGTCACATCACCTACAAAGAGAGAAGATGGAGATTTTCATCTTCATTTTTAATTATTCTTCTTCTGCTGGCTTTTCCTTATTTAATTGCACTACCTAATACTATAAGTACAATTTAAATGATAGTTGAGATTCAAGACCATCCATAGTTCTTGATCTTACTGCAATGTCCCTAATGTTTTCCTGACTGGCATAATGACTTTTAGATGGAATTTCTAATATTGAACCATGGTTGAATTCCTGTAATAAATCTCTCTTGATCAGACTGTCATTTTTCAATGTGGTATGGATTCTACTAATATTTTACTAATTATTTTTGCACTGACATTTATAAGTAAGACTATTTTATGTATTTTTATTCCCCCTCTCCACTGAAAGATAATGGAACCTGCTTAGAGAGACTATGTTCTGACCATAAGCCTAAAAAGCAGTCTTACAGTTTAGACTTTAGTTCCTAATTTCCAAGCATCGTGTATACAAGTTTCTATAAGGGATATGTACTGCATATTCATGAAAAAAATGGATAAGTGAGGTCTCACCTTTACCCTTGAAAAGTCTGTTGCATAAGAAAAGAAGAATAGTTGAAACACTACAAAATTTAATTAGTTCATATTAATATCCTCACTCACCCTCTCACTCTCATCATTCTTAAAATAACAAACAAAAATTTGCCAAAAGAGCTTTCAAAGCTAGCTATGACACTATCCCCCCACCACCACCAATGTGGAGAGTTTGGGCTCACAAAATGGAAAAGGAGAACATTTCAATCCCTTTGGTAGATGTGTACTATAGCAGGAAAGATAATTCCACTGGCATCAATTCAGATTTGCTGATAGAACCAGCAAATTTAGAGAAAATAAACATATTGTCTTTCCCCTTAGTAGATTAACATTGGAACCTAAGCTGATTTTGTCAAAAACAAAAACAAATCTGGAGGTTTGTCCCTATTGTTGAGATTTAGGAATGCAAATACTAGAGTGATAAAAAATATATGAATGCCCATACTCCCAAACTAGAGATAAGCAAGAAATATATCTGATAAATTAAGAAGTGAAAGAAGATTTCACTGGAGTATTGTGTTAACTATGAGTTCTACTGATTTCAGGAATAAAATATAAAAATGTTTTTTAAAATCTTGGTAAATATGACTTTAGGGCATCCCTGAGAGAGCTAGCACTGGGTTTTAAGAGTCTGAATTATCTAATTGGTTAGCTCAGTGAGCTAAACAAGTAGCCTACCAAGGGTGTTGCACAATTCTTTATCATTTATCTAGTATCTTCCAACCCTGCTTTGATGTTTAAGAAGCCTCAAGCCAATCCCATACTAGGGAAAGACTGATACAGCTGCCAATTTGGGGAATGGCAGAGCGTCACCCACCTCCTTGCCCACTTTCTTACTAGGCACCCTTATGTCCCATTCTTAAACTCAGTGCTTTGATACGTCTAACTTCTAAACAGGGCCTAAAAGCTAAGCAGTGCTATAAGCACTTAAAAAGTGTTTGGTAGGTTTTAAGGCAGGAATATATACATAATATCTAACCACCCCTCGGAACCCTGCAAGAATCTCAAAATGATTGAGGGTTGAGTAGGCCTAGAGGCTGGACAGGGATTCAACAAAAGGAGGAAAATGGAAGAAGAGATATGGTGGCAAGGGACGTACATCTAAATCCCTTACATAAATCCCCCAAACTTTCTTGCAGCCCCACCCAATTACACATACCTTTAGCATCAATTTTGTGACTTTATCATTCATTTTTATTTTAACATAATTCACATAAATCTATAAGAAAGGAATATAAGTGATTCACCCTGCATTAAACCCTGGCCTAGGGGGTCATACTCACACATTCAGAAATTCTTTGAGACTTATCCAAATCCATGAATAGGACTCTTACTTCAAGAGAAAATATGCCCCTTTCTGAGATGGGGCTGCAGCTCCTGACCCAAATTCTCTACCAGACACCTATCAGACACCAGAGGAACTTGCTGGCCAGGGTGGGGGTAGGGAGGTATCCTCTGACTCCTTATGTCATCTGGGTCTTTTCTGACCTCCTTATCCACAGAGGCACTCCTTCAACACTCTCTCATCACTGTTTTCACTTAATATCATTTAATACCAACTGATATAATCTCATTAATTTATAGGTATTTAGGAAGACAGGCATGTCTGTCTTATCACTAACTCTCTAGCTCTTGGGACAGGGTCTAAAACAGAAGATGTACAATAAGCCCCTTTATCCATAGTTTTGCTTTCTGTAGTTTAAGTTTCCCATGGAAAAGGGTAAGTACAATTACACTAAGATATTTTGAAAGAGAGATCACATTCACATAACTCTGTGTATTTTGCTGAAGCATGAACCCAGAGTTCCACACATGCTAAGTGCACATTCCATCTCTTATATCTCCAGCCCCTCATATAATTTTGATTACAGTATTTTGTTGCATTAGTAGTTAGTATTAATCTTTTATTGTGAAATTGTTCTGTTGCATTAGTAGTTAGTATTAATCTTTTACTGTGACTAATTTATAAATTAAAACCTTATTATAGGTATGTATGCACAGGAAAAAGCATACTAACTATTTAGTTTGGTACTCTCCATAGTTTCAGGTATCTAGTAGGTACCTTGGAATGGGCCCCAAGATAAGATAGAAGACTGTACTCAAATATTTAATGAATGAATGAATGTGTGATAAGTCCAGATGATGCCAAGGCCATGCTACAGATCCATTAATGTGAATTTCTGTTCACTCTCTCCCTGGAATCTTTCAGGAGAGATCTTTCCTTTCTTCAGTCTTTGTCCAGCAGGATTCCAAGGGGTCCCTTGTGCACCTTTGTCTTAGCTGTCCTAAGAGCTAGAGAGTTAGTAATAGACAGACCCATATTTCCTGCCTTCATAAGTACCTATAAATGAATGAGATCAGGTCAGACAGTGTTAAGTGGGGTGGACCCAGCCTAATCTAGAATTAAAATAACTGATTAGGCCTCTTCACATGTATAACTTGGCCTCACCTTCACCCAGAAACAATAACCTTCATTTTCTTTAGTGACAAATCTACTCTTGGCTCAAACAAGGGTCTGAAATAATTCAGCATCTATTTTTGGCCAGTAACATCACCCATGGGTACTAGAGTCAGGTGCCCTCCTCCTGTGTAAGACAGGCTGGGGTTGGGAGAATGGTCTGTTACTCTTGACTAGTTAAATGTGTATAGTGGAGCAGCATAAATAAAAAGACACAGCCAAGAGGAAGATGTATATTTAAAATTCCTCCCCTTCATTTTCTTCTTCAAATGAATCGGTCCCCACTTCTTCATAATCCTTCTCCAGGGCAGCCAGATCCTCCCTGGCCTCAGAAAATTCTCCTTCTTCCATTCCTTCTCCAACATACCAATGCACAAAGGCCCGTTTAGCGTACATTAGGTCAAACTTATGGTCAAGGCGGGCCCAGGCCTCCGCAATTGCTGTGGTGTTGCTCAGCATGCAGACAGCCCGCTGGACTTTGGCCAGATCCCCTCCTGGCACCACGGTGGGTGGCTGGTAATTGATGCCCACCTGGGGAACAAATGAGGAAGAGCAACAGCAGAATATGCAAGTCAGCCAAAAGATAACTCATAGGGCATGTCTTGTAACAAGGTATGTTAGTGAGTCAGGGTCCTGTGTGTGGAGAGCAGACTGCAGGGTGGAATGTGAGAAGAAGGAACCCAGAAGTTGGGAGAGTGAGCAGGTAGAAAGAAGTGGGCACTAGAGAGAAAAGTAAATGGTATTGGTACAAGCAAATTCCAAAGCAAGGGCTGGAGGATTTAAAGTCTGGAAAAGAAAAAGAGAGGGCTGGTACCAGGAAGAAATGTTAGTGGAAAATAGCAAAAAAGACAAAGGAAAGCAATGAATAAAGTTATTATTTCATGGGAGGTAGAGTATATGATTTGCCTCTAAAAGGGAAGGAAATACCTTCAATTTCAATCACTGGAATTGAAATTGCTGTGAAGTTATTCTTTTTTATTTTTATATTTATATATTTAGTTAGTTGTAGATGGACACAATACCTTTATTTTATTTATTTATTTTTATGTGGTGTTGAGGATTGAACCCAGTGCCTCAAACATGCCAGGCAAGTGCTCTACCACTGAGCCACAACCCTAGCCCATGAAGGTTATTCTTCCCAGATGATGTCTGAAGTTCTTCTTAGTTGTGTGCAAATAAATTTGGGTAAGTTTCTCTGCCAAGGGTGAAGAGATGTGTAAGAAGTCATAGGGATATTCCAGAACAATAAATTTAAAAATCCAAAGGTCCTTGGGGATTACATTAATGTAAACCAGGCCTTGTTATGTCTGGAAAACAGGAATTCTCAGAAGAAAAGTAAGACCTCCAAAGATAATTAAAGGTCTTGCCTGAAGCTAACTTCCCAAGTTCTGGTGGCATGTCAGGGTCCTCCCAGCTAACCCCAGCCCGTCTTGGGGAAGGAAGATGAAAAATGTAGCCAGGAGTAGAACAATGAGAAGGAATGCTACACTCCCTTGCTCTAAAAGAGAACAGTTACATCTTGGTTGTCAGGAATGGAAAATGTCAGGGCTTTATGACATGAGTAACTCATGTAATAAACAAAATATGTCCCACAATTTCTCCAAATTAATTAAGTCTTACAGAATAGGTATTTAATTTCTCAAAATAAACTGGGGGAACACATTTTTTGTTAGAAGAGAAAATTATACCTCTCTAATAACAAGAATAACTTAGTCAATTCTAAAATTAAAATACCTGGAAATGGAAAATGTCTATTAAAACTAATTTAACATAAATTGAACTGAATCATGATCTCCAAAAGCATTGTGATTCAGGTCCATTCCAAAATCATTACTTGCTCCTCAGCTTTAAAAAAAAAAATCAAAGATAGTAAACCAATTTAAAATATTCCCAAATTCATGTTTTCTAAAATTTTTTTTTATAAGGGATTGAACCCAGGGGCACTTCACCACTGAACTACGTCCCCAATCCCTTTTAAAATTTTATTTTGAGACAAGTCTCATTAAATTGTCCATGCTGGCCTCAAATGTATGATCTTCTTGCTTCACCACCCAAATCATTGGGATTACAGACATGGACCACCATGCCTGGCTCTAAAATGACAAAATTTCAACAGCATTTGTGTCTCAGCCAAAGCTGAATGAAATTAATTTTACATGTGGTTTCAATTCCTCTCCCCATATCAACACATAAAACCTGAGGCTCCCAAGATTTCATTCTACCATTTTTTGTCTTCTGTTTCTGCTTTTCCAGTTATCTAGCCCCTTTGTAATTTATCAGCTCTCACCTTGAAGCCTGTGGGACACCAGTCGACAAACTGGATAGTCCTCTTGGTCTTGATGGCGGCAATAGCAACATTCACATCCTTGGGCACCACATCTCCCCGGTACAGCATGCAGCAGGCCATGTACTTTCCATGCCTTGGGTCACACTTCACCATCTGGCTGTTGGGCTCAAAGCAGGAGCTGGTTATCTCAGCAACAGAGAGCTGTTCATGGTAGGCTTTCTCAGCAGAGATGATGGGAGCATAGGTGACTAGGGGGAAGTGAATGCGGGGATAGGGCACCAGGTTGGTCTGGAACTCAGTGAGGTCCACATTGAGGGCCCCATCAAAGCGGAGAGAGGCTGTGATTGAGGACACAATCTGGCTGATGAGGCGGTTGAGGTTGGTATAGGTGGGGCGCTCAATGTCTAGGTTCCTGCGGCAGATGTCATAGATGGCTTCATTATCTACCATGAAAGCACAATCTGAGTGTTCCAGTGTGGTGTGGGTTGTCAGGATGGAGTTGTAGGGCTCAACAACTGCAGTGGAGACCTGGGGTGCTGGGTAGATAGCAAACTCTAGCTTGGACTTCTTGCCATAATCAAGGGAGAGGCGTTCCATCAGCAGAGAAGTGAAGCCAGAGCCAGTGCCTCCACCAAAACTGTGGAAGATCAGGAAGCCCTGCAAGCCAGAGCAAGCATCTGTCTGGGGAAAGCAGGAAATGAGAAGAAATCATGAAGACAAGTTCTGAGAATTCTCCCAGGTAACAAATCCTTCCCTCTGCCCCATCCCATCCAACATTTTTATATAAGTGAAATCATGAAAGCCTTAAAGAAATAAGGAAACACAAAGGCAGTTGTTTTGATCTTGGGAGGAGTAGCTGAATTATGGGATAGCAAGCTACATATGCCTTTAGGAACATGAAAGTTTCATCCCAGCAGCTTAGTTAAAATAGGAATGAAAATTTCAGAGCCACAATGATCAGTGACTTTGCCTTTTGAGAGCCCTAAATTGCCCACCACCCCTGCCCTATGATTCTGTAGGAACTGTTTACCTATACCTCTCAACCCAACCTTGAAAGGGAGGTCAGAGTACCAACTTAAGAAAAGGAATTAGGGAACCTGAGGTTTCCTTTTTTATTTTATTTTATTCTATATTGAAAATTTATAGCTGTGCATATTTATGGGGTACAAAGTGATATTACAGTTTTTACATACACTGTGGAATGACCAAGTCAAACCAACCAACCCATCCATGTGCTTCCCAGTTGTAAAAACTTGAACAAGTTATTGAACCTCTCCAAACTTTTGTTTGCTCTTGATTAAAGTGGAGACAAGAAAAATATCCTCATCTTGAGACAATTAGAGAAGGGAAAAGGGGAGAGGGAAGGAGAGAGAAAAGGGAGGGTAAGAGTAGAAGGGAGGGTAGATATGATCAAAGCATGATAGAGGTAAGTATGGAAATACATAGTGAAACCTATTATTTTCTACAATTAATGTGTTAATAATTATATTTTTTTAAAAAGACTATGATTTCCTGTAAAAAAAAATCCTTATCTTACAAGGTTATTGTGATAATTAAATGAGATAGCATAATGTTTTGAGTAAAAATCTGATGCTTATTAAGCATTCAATGTTAGCCTATCAGAACAAAGAGAATTCAGAGTCACAGAATTTTTCCATTGAATATGATGTATTATTTAATCCAGTGCTTCAAAACTTAGTAACACTACAGATGGCTTTGAGACTGATGACCTCTATTAGAACCCTCTAAACAAAAAAAGTAAACATATACAAAAATGCATATAAAAAAAGTGCTTTTTAACCTAAGCACCCAGGTTAAAAAAAGAAAAAAAAAACTTCACTACATCCAACATTTTCCATCATATAAATTAGGAAATAGGAGCTTAAACAAAGTGACTTTGCCCACAACTCAGAGCTTTGTAGTCAAATCAACCTGGTTCAAATCCTAACTCTGCCAACTTTCTAGCTGTGTAAACCAAGCTAAATTATTTAACCACCCTGGCCCTCAATTTCTTTACCTGTAAAGTACAGGGAAGAGACCTCCTTTGTATGATTATTAAGAAAAAAATGAAGGAATGTTCTTGATATGTATAATATTTGCAAGTCCTCAAATGTGTAACAATTTCTTCCTCTCCTCTTCTAACTTAATGATTTGTAAACCATTATTCCAATAAGCAAGGCCTTAGCCTTCCTTATAGTTGGAATCTTCCCCAGATACCACCATACAGTATTGATAGGTACCTTCAGGCATCAGCCTGTAGGATAGTCCATGATATCTAGGTAGGGGAAAGGCATAATCCTTGGGAATGCCCTTTACAAAATATAAAACCAGGGTATAGCTCCATGGTAGAGTGTGTGCTTAGCATCCATGAGGCCCTGAATTTAGTCACCAGCACTGGAAAAAATTCCCAAACCTTAGGTGCTCTATCCTGTAGCCAGAAGTCATGTATAGCTCCATCTACCCAGCCTTATCCAAGAGATATAGATCCAAGCCTGTTCACTCTAGCCTAACTCACCAATCTTCTGTCCCAGATGCTTACCAGCTTCCGTATGCGGTCCAATACTAAATCGATGCTCTCCTTGCCCACTGTGTAGTGACCCCGGGCATAGTTATTAGCTGCATCCTCCTTTCCTGTGATCAGCTGCTCTGGATGGAAGAGCTGGCGGTAGGTTCCTGCCCGAACCTCATCTACCAAGAGAGGGGGACCATTAGGTCTTACCACCTGGTTTCCAGAGGAGAAGCCTCCCTCCCCATTAGATTATCATATGACACCCTTCTGGCTTTGGTGTTGGAGATCAAGCCCAGTGCCTCATGCGTTCTGAGCACACACTCTGCCACTGAGCCACACACCCAGTCCAAGACATATTTTTTAATGCTTTTAAGCAAAATTGTACTCCAGGTCCTGGAAGAGCAGGAGCCTTTGAGAGACCTTCAAGGGGCTCTGCTTACCTCCAAGGGTTCACACAGGGTAGGTGCAAGGCAGATGAAGATTCATCCGCCTCACCTCATCATCTCTTTGGAATTCCTCTACTCCCCCCTTCAGAGAAATCATTCAAGTGTGCAGTCACCTGGGAAGGTGACCCGCATTATTTTGCATTTGTACAAAACATCCAGAGGGTAGAGTACCTGTCATTCGTTGCCTCTAGAAACCACTGTTCAGGTGTTATAAGCATTTGTCCAGATATCTCTGTGCAACCTGTCTACCCCTTGCTTGATGAGCCAGCCTTAAAGCTTAGGAAATTCTGCTGTGTAACTAACTGAATGAGATTCATTCTAAAACAACTGCAACACCTGGCTGTGAATATGCTTGCTGTTTTATCATTTTGTATGTAAGGTACTTCAAGGTTAGACTAGACCTGTGAGAATAGACTGCAATTATTATAAAATCAGAAACCTACACTGTGGGAAATTGACTAATTAGGGGCTTATTATAATTTCCAAAAATTATTTAGGTTTTTTAAATTATTAGCATTTAGTGACAGTCTTGTTCATTTCAGACTGTCTCAGCAGGCTTAAGGGGCACTTTACATTGTACAGATTAACAGGGATCCTCAATCCCTATTGCAAGATTCCCTAAGGAGCTGACAGAAGTCACAAGGGCTGGTGGATTCTAGTTGAGCCACCCCCACTTTTTAGCTTCCTTATCGTTCATTAAGCCAAAGCCTCTGAGGTTTTGTATTGTTTTATGTGGAGGGAATCTTAACCCATACTCACCTACTACAGTAGGTTCCAGGTCCACCATGACAGCCCGGGGCACGTGTTTCCCATTGCCAGTCTCACTGAAAAATGTGGTGAAGGAGTCATCGTCGTTGATCTTGCTGGCCTGAGCACCAAAGGTGCCATCTGCCTGGATGCCATGCTCCAGGCAGAAGAGCTCCCAACAAGCATTGCCAATCTGAACTCCAGCTTGACCCACGTGGACAGATATGCATTCCCGCTGTGGGGAGAGGACAATATCAGGGTCAGAGAGCCCTGGCCACAGATTGAGGCTCCACATCTGCAGACCTGTCTCTTCCTGTATTCAATCTTCAGGACACCCATCCCTCCATCCATGCTACCCTGGTAATCAGGTGGTATCTGAGGTTGCAAGTGCGTGGGCACAACTGCAAATGGACCAAAACTTGGGCTCCAAAGAAGACATGTTTTTTTCTATGGTTTTCTCTAAAGTTTGCTTTCCATAGTTAATTCTTTGTACCAGGAAGAAAAAAAAAAAGCTACTGCAGAGGTGAAACAAGGAGCTAATTCTAAACCATCAGACTCTGATACCAAAGAAACCCATGAGAATAGCAGAAAATATTCCTAAGTTTACTACCACACCCAGCGGCAGATTTCACATTCATTAATACTAATCCCCAACTTGACATCTCACACACACAGACACATACACACTCAGACTAACAGAGCAGATGAATACTCATGGAAGGAATATGGTTTGGAGCAGTATTATTAGTATTATTAGTGTCATTAGTGTTATGGTGACAAATGTAGAAATGAGAAGAGATCAGTACACCATCAAGGGAAGGTTGAGGGGCATAAATTAGGCTCTTACCAAATTCTGACAAAGTGGAAAATTCTTTTTGGAGCCTCCATTATCAAGGGAAGGTTGAGGGGCATAAATTAGGCTCTTACCAAATTCTGACAAAGTGGAAAATTCTTTTTGGAGCCCCCATTATCTACCACCTGGCCTATGTCAGGCCAAGTGTTAAATAAAGCTAACCTTTAGAGTATTCTTATCTTTGTGCTACTCTAATATGAAGCCACAATTACCTGACTGATCTTAGTACTTAATGCCTTAAGATGGGGAGGTGTGTGCTTAACTAGAAACACACCATGAAGTTTCACTAGGAAGATGAACTCGTTTCCCCTACCCATATCCTGCCTGTGGGGAAGAGTGGCCAACATAACAGCTCTGTGTATGTGACACTCGCCAGAACCCAACATGGAAGCATGTGCTTGGTCTGTGGGTTTCTATTCTTATCCATGACCTGACTTGTCATTTTCCAGCTCTAAGTAATTCAAGCCAGGAACAGAGCCTCCAGAGAACACGGCTGGGCATGAAAACAAGTAGAGTCCACATCCAGGACTCCTGGGAAGTTGGAAGAGTCTCCAAGCATAGCAACATTCAAAGGGTCAACGGTGTCAGGACCCATTTCTCCCTTATTCAGTTTTACAGCTGAGTCCCTACTCTACACCTATCTGTGCTAGAGCTGACTGATAGTTGCCACTTGCCCTGGGGAAGAAAAGAGCATGGGCATTCACAGCAGCCAGTATGGAACACAACCCTGTACAGAATACCCAACCCAGCTGTATTCCCCAGTGTCCAGGGAAAAGGCTTCATTCACACGGTTGCCCACATTCCAAGGTTGAAATCTTGCCTTCTCAATTTACTTGCTGGTCTGTGCAATCTTAACTGAGTTACTCACTCTCTCCTCATCTGAAAATAAATTAGCCATAATTGCTATTATTGTTCTTGTCTTTACCATTATCATTTTCAGCTATACTCTCTTATAGCTCTTTTCTCCACCTATAGGAAGCAAGAAGCACCTATAGGAAGTCGGAGAGCTCGGGTTTCCATTCTTCACTCCTTTATTTTGGGGTCTGTTCTCAACCTCCATCTTAAGACTCTATTCAGGACTAAGAAAAGCACATTTTGTGTCCATCAACCAGCCCCAAACCAGCGTGTTATTGACCCAGACCATATCTCACATTCAGCAAGCAGCCATGGCTTCCTAGAGAGATATTCAAAACTTAGGGGACATTAGAGAGGCTTGAAAGGAGCCTCATCCTATATCTTCTCCTAAGTGACAATATCCTTCATGGCCCTGACCCTTAGCTTTCTGAGCCTTGTTCACTACCATACCCCAACCACCCTCTAAACCCATCTCAGGGACTGCCTGGTCCCTAGGTTGACCTCTCTTCTGGAATACTCTGGGTCTTTCCACAGAAGATACAGGAAAAGCAAAGATCACAGGACAAAGAGTAAAGAATCTGGTGGACCTGAAACCACTAACATGTGACATTTAGATCAAACTCTGTTTGATGCCCTCTTTAATCTCATACAATTAATATGCATTTTCACAGATAAAATCCCCCCCAGCTCTGTCACACACAAACACACCCTTAAGAAAAGAACTATTTTATTTAGTAAGACCCTGTCTCAAAATAAAAATTTAAAAAGGGGATAGGGATGTAGCTCAGTGGTAGAGCATTTCAGTGTGAAACCCTGGATTCAATTCTCACTACCACAAAAAGAGAAAGGGGGAAAGAGGAAGGTCTCTTAATATTATTCCTTACTAACAGAACCAGTGAACCTTAAAGCAACAGAGAGTTCTGGGTCTGAACTGAGGAATGTATCAGATAAGTCTGAAGTATTTTATAGAGCCTGAAAGCGCAGAAGCTAACAAAGACTGGGATGTCAAGCCAACTTGAAGAGTCCCACTGCCAAAGACAAGCACCAGAAAGAATAATGAAGGGGTGGGTATGTAACTCAATGGTAGAGTACTTGACTAACATACGCAAGGCAAGGCCCTAAATTCCATCTCCAATAGTGTGGGGTCATGGGGGAAGGAGAAGGACAGGCATGGTGGAACACACCTGTATTCCCAACAAATTGAGAGACTGAAGCAGAAGAATTGCAAAGTTTGAGGACAGTTTTAGCAACTTGGCAAAGCCCTATCTAAAAATAGATTTTAAAAAAAAATGAGGTTGCAGGTATAACTCCGTGGTAGAGCACCCTTGGGTAAAATCCCTGGTACCACCAAAAAAAAATATTTCTTTTGAATATTTTATACACTCTATTTCAATCAAGTAATGCCATTATTTTTTTTATTGAGACAGGATATATTAAAAAAGATCCAAAATATCTTCTCCTCCACCGGCTCCCATCCTGGTGCTGAGGATTGAACCAAGGGCCTGGCACATACAAGGCAAGCACACTACTGAGCTACATCCCTAATCCTATTTTAAAATACTTTTAACACAGAAGATAAGTAAATATGGAAAAAAATTCTTAATATTATGTCTAAATGATAAATATATAGGTGGCATTATACTCATCTACTTTCTGGATGTTTGATGTTTTTTAAAGTAAAAAAGCTAAATAAAACAAGAGTAGGAGTAAGGACTCCATTCAACTTTTGCGGGTCCAGGTTCTTCTTGCCCCACTTCACACAGTCATTTATTGACCTAACATTTATTAAGACCTTAATTTATGAGGTCAAACAGTGATTTCAAAGTTACATGAAGAAATCACAAGTGAAATTACAAGTTGTCTGAGGCTTTGTGGAACTCTGAGGTCTGTGCTCATGCTCAACCTTCCTCTGGGCCTTTGCACCTGCTTCTGGTCAGGTGCTATAGTTTGGATCTGGAATGTTCCCTAAAGGCCCATCCTTTTCTAAAGGACTGGCACTATTTGGAGGTCTTGGAGACATTCAGAGGTAGGACCTCATGGGAGGACTTTGGGTCACTGGGAATTTGCCCTCAGAAAGAATTGTGGAACCCCAGTCTTTTGCTCTTCCTCTCTTCCCCTGTTTAGCCATGAGGGTTGTAATTTTGTTCCCACCATGACATGCTGCCTCGTCATAGGCCCAAAAGCAACAGAGTCAACCAATCATGGACTGAAACCTACAAAACTATGAGTCAAAGTAAACCTTTTCACTTTATAAGAAAATTACCTCAGGTATTTATTATAGTGACATAAAACTTACTAACACCTAGGGGAACAAGGAACATTTCAAAGCTCCGCCACAGAACTCCTCTAACTCAGGTGCTGACCTAGCCTCCTCCAACTACTCTGATCATCTATGAATCTTTCTGCCTGGAAGTTCTGCATAAACACAGAACAGACCCAGTGCAGATGTCCTTGGGAGACCAATCCTCATTGCCCAAGAAAAGGCATCCTCCTTTCATAACCAAGGATGTGATGCTAGCTTCAAAATATTTAGGATTCTAGTGCTGGATTGGCTTTATGTTCACCTAATATGATTCCCCCTCCATTATTTTGCAGACAAAAAAAAATCTGGGGTTCATAAAGGTATGTAACAAATTCACGAGTTCACAGCTCTGCAGCAAAAAATCCTGGACCAGAATCTATGACTTCAGACCCCATCCTGAATTCTTTCCTTTGTACTGCACAACCTCCTGCCTCACTTTCACTCTGAATTTCCAGGGCCTTGAGATGTGCACACATTCACATCAGTGCCAGCCTGATGGTGGACACCAAGATCAAGCTTGCAGAGCAAAACTACAAACAGGAAAAATTCTAATGCAGAGAGAAACTGAGAATGGATCAGGGTGGTAACCTAGTTGAAATGGATCATTTTGACAGAACCAAGGAGACTGATTCTCCAAACCAGTGTGCACAGCCATTGGCAGGGGGAGGAGTTACTAGGGCAAGGGTAAGCTGACCCAGCAGAAGATATTTAAGTCATATGTTTGCTTCAAACTCATATTTCAGGTTTCCTTCTTTAGCCAATTGGAGTGTTTTCTCTTCTCTTCTCTTTTCTTTTCTTCTTCTTCTTCTTCATCTTCTTCTTTTCTCTCTCTCTCTCTCTCTCTCTCAAGTTTTATTTTGAATCTGGGCTTACAGAGCCTCAGACAAGCTCTGCTCTCCTGGGTCCCAGTGAGGAGTCCCCTCTGTGCTGCTGAAGCTAACAATCCAGAAGGTGAAGAAGATAAGGAAGTGGATAGACCTGGGAGTCCCTTTCCTCAAGGAAAGTATGACATCCTCTCACACAGACTTAGCCCTGAGAAACCTACCAAAGTCACCTACTCTGTTCATTCCTACGACAAATGTTTTTTGTGCTGTTACATGCAAGAAGGCATTGGAAGGTAGTAGGCAAGTCCCTGATGTGAATTGCTACAATCCCCTTTATCTCCCCATCATTGCATTTTTCACACCATATTATATAGTTGCTTTTTCAATTTTCTGGCTTTTCT